CTGCTGGGAATCAACCCACCGGGCAAGGTAACGCGCGGAGTGCGTAGGCTGCGGGAACGCGAAGCTGGTGAAGGGATGCAAATCATCCTAAGCAAGGGTGGGGAGGATCGCGCAAGCGTCAGCACACTCCCGGTAAACGATAGCAGCTCCGAAGTGGGCTTTTACGGTGCTGGGCGTAAGCTCGAGGACATCCAGAGCGTTGATTCTCACAGCTATCCGCCACAAGAACCGAAACCACATACTGTACCCTCGTGGGCTGGTGGTTCGGGTTCGCTTAGCGCATATCAGCAGTCGATACGCGGGCGCTCGTCGACGGGCGTAGTCGATTACAACAAGCGAGTGACCGGCCTCGCACGCTGGGAGCGGACGCTGTGGAAGAAGCTCGAGGTCGGCGATATCGTACTCCTTCGCGAGAATGATCAGGTTCCGGCGGACATCGTCGTCCTCTCTACATCCGACCCAGACAACATGTGCTACCTCGAGACGAAGAACCTGGACGGCGAGACAAACTTGAAGCCCCGCAGGTCCGTCAAGGCCACATCGTCTATAACGTCCGAGGAAGACATCGAGCGCGCTTGTTTCGTTCTCGACTCGGAGCCTCCGCATGCGAACCTTTACATGTATCATGGAGTTCTCCGGTACAAGGACTCCTCGACGGGTGAGCAGAAGCAGGAATCTGTGACCATCAACGAGCTGCTCCTTCGAGGATGCACGCTGCGCAATACGGCGTGGGTAATCGGACTGGTCGTTTTCACTGGCGCGGACTCCAAGATCATGCTGAACGGCGGGGACACACCATCAAAACGCTCGAAGATTGAGAAGGAGACGAATTTCAACGTGATTGTGAACTTCGTAATCCTCATACTCATGTGTCTCGTCTCCGGAATCATCAGCGGCTACCTAGACTCCAAGGCCAACACAAGTGCTCGCGAGTTCGAGCAAGGCGCAGATGCATCAAGTTCAGATGTGGTGAACGGCGTCATCACCTTTGTGTAAGCTGTCTCGTTTGGTGAGAAGAGAATGCCGCTAAACATCACTTCCAGATCGAGCCTTATCGCATTCCAGAACATCGTCCCTATCTCTTTGTACATCTCCATCGAGATCGTCAAGACCATCCAGGCGTATTTTATCTCGCAGGACATCGACATGTACTACAAGCCGTTCGATGCCGCATGTACGCCGAAGACCTGGAACATCTCCGATGACCTTGGCCAGATTGAGTACATCTTCTCGGACAAGACGGGCACGCTTACGCAAAATGTCATGGAGTTCCAGAAGTGCTCGGTCAACGGCGTTGCCTACGGCGAGGGTATCACTGAGGCTCAGCGCGGTGCAGCGAAGCGGCAAGGCCTCGCGGACGCATTGGACCCGGAAGAGCAAGACCACCAGTTGCATATGTGGAAGCAGCGCATGCTGGACAAGATGGCGCAGACATTCAAGAACCGCTATGCACAGCCAGACCGTCTCACCCTCATCTCGCCGAAGCTGGCCGATGACCTTGCGGACCGCAGCTCTCCTCAGCGGCAGCACCTCATCGAGTTCTTTCGTGCCCTTGCAATCTGCCACAGCGTGCTGTCGGAGCGCCCAGACCCGAACAGGCAGCCGTACCACCTGGAATACAAGGCCGAATCTCCGGATGAAGCGGCTCTCGTCGCGGCGGCCCGTGACGTCGGTTTCCCGTTCGTCTATCGCGCGAAGGATGCGATTGAGATTGAGGTGATGGGTCAACCTGAGCGCTACACTCCCCTCCAGATGCTCGAGTTCAACAGCACGCGCAAGAGAATGAGCGTCATCGTGCGCAACCCTCAGGGCCAGATCGTCTTGTACTGCAAAGGCGCGGACAGCGTCATCTATCAGCGCCTAGCTGCCGACCATGATCCCGAGCTGAAGGCCGCGACGTCGCGCGACATGGAGGCGTTCGCGAACGGCGGGCTGCGGACTCTCTGTATCGCGTATCGGTATCTCACAGAGCAGGAGTATGTTGAGTGGGTGCGGAAGTACGAGGCTGCGACGAGCGCCATCGATGACCGGGAAGAGGAGATCGAGAAAGCCAATGATCTTGTCGAGCATTCGCTTCAGATCCTGGGCGCAACTGCGCTGGAGGACAAGCTGCAGGAGGGTGTCCCCGAAGCCATCGAGACCCTTCATAAAGCGGGAATCAAGCTCTGGATCTTGACAGGTGCGAGGATCGCCGCTATGAGCATGTCGTAACAGCATTTGACACGTCGGCTAGGTGACAAGGTTCAAACGGCTATCGAGATCGGTGAGTATATGATCTTGCAGCTCTGTCCAGCCAGGAGCTGACGGGTTTTGCGGCGTTTATCAGGGTTCAGCTGCAACCTGCTCAAGAATGACATGGAAATCATGATTCTGTCGGCGGACTCGCACGAGGCGACACGACTGCAGATCGAAGGAGGCCTGAATAAGATTGCCTCAGTGCTAGGGCCTCCGTCTGTCAATGGCAAGCAGCGCGGGTTCGTACCTGGGGCCCAGGCTGCATTTGCCGTTGTCATCGACGGTGATACGTTGCGACATGCTCTCAACCCGGATCTGAAAGACCTGTTCTTGACTTTGTCTACCCAGTGTGAGACCGTTGTCTGCTGCCGAGTCTCTCCTGCCCAGAAGGCTATGGTCGTCAAGCTAGTACGTACTCTAAGAGTTTGCCTCTTGCCAGCTAAGTTGATGACTGATTCATGATGCTGCAGGTCAAGGAAGGACGAAATGCCATGACCTTGTCTATTGGCGATGGTGCGAACGATGTTGCTATGATTCAGGAGGCGAACATCGGCTGTGGTCTATTGGGGCATGAGGGTTCGCAGGCTGCCATGTCAGCGGACTACGCGTTTGGGCAGTTCCGGTTCCTCACCAAGCTGTTGCTCGTTCACGGTCGGTGGTCCTATCAACGAATCGCGGACATGCACGCGAACTTCTTCTACAAGGTATCTCGTTAACCTCATCTTTCATGATTTGTGCGACTGACGGCCGCTCACCTAGAACGTCATTTGGACCTTTGCCATGTTCTGGTTCATGTTCTTCAACAGCTTCGACGCGACCTACTTGTACCAGTACACATTCATACTGTTGTACAACCTCGTCTTCACTTCGCTGCCCGTCATTGCGCTCGGAGGTGGGTCCATTGGGGCACCCGTTACACTGAAAGCTGACGCTTTCGAAAGCCTTCGATCAGGATATCAATGCGAAGGCCGCACTGGCATTCCCGCAGCTCTACATTCGCGGCATCCGTGGTCTGGAGTACACCCGGCTCAAGTTTTGGTTGTACATGCTAGACGGCCTTTATCAGTCGGCTGTCGTCTTCTTCATCCCATATCTTGTCTGGACGCTCGATATCGCCGTATCCTGGGACGGGAGGACGATCGAGTCCCTCGCTGATTTCGGTACCACAGTGTCTGTAGCCGCCATCATTGCTGCTAACACATATGTCGGACTAAACACCCATTAGTGCGTACACGCATTCCCCTGCACTGAGTCAGACGCTGACATTTACGCGCTCTCAGTTGGACGGTCATCACTTGGGTTATCGTCATCGGCTCCTCGGTGGTCATGATACTCTGGATTGCCATCTATTCAGCATTCCAGAGCATCGATTTTGTAGACGAAGTCGTGATCCTCTTCGGCGAGGTCACCTTCTGGGCATCCGTTCTGATCTCCGTGGTGATCGCGCTCGGTATGTTCGACGCTGCGTACCTTGTTTATGTAGCTAATGTACATTCCAGGTCCACGCTTCCTAGTGAAGTTCATAACAACTTCGTACATGCCGCTTGACAAGGACATTGTGCGGGAAATGTGGGTCTTGGGAGACCTCAAGGATCGCCTTGGTATCCCACATAGGCGCGACCGCAAGAAGGGTAAGCTCGAGCAGACCCCTATCTTCCACCAACCTCACTGTCGGTCAGAGTCGGAGATCAGCCACTTAGAGGAAGACTACTCCGCCCCGCCTGTACCTCGCACTCCGATTTCCGACGGTTCTCCTCGTCCCACTGTTCCGCTCATGGTTGGAGAGTCTCCTGGACCAGAGAAGCCCGAAGAGGGTGCATATGACCTCACAGGCTCACCAACATCCGACGCCGGAGCACATACATCGACCAGTCCTTCCCTCCGGCGACTCTCTTACTATTCCGTCTCCGGGATTCCTCCGCCCTCACCTATTCCAGAGTCTAATCGATACCATGCGTATACCCGCGATTCCGCCAGAACTACAGCATACCAGACAGACCCTCCTATGTCCGCCGTATCGCCCACTTCGATCAGCCATGCACTCGCGTCCCCAACACACTCAGCGCCTGTGTCTGCCACTTTGCAAGTACCTGGTGCACGGTCCCCGCGGGCTGCGAGTCCAGCAGAGCAGTACGAAATGCGGGTTCGTACACCCTCAGAACAGTGGACCGGCTATCCTCAGCAGGAACCTCTGCACACGCCGATGCCCACGGAGGACTCATATGCCACCGCTTACGATGGCCTCGACAACGGCCAGCTCACGCCGTCGCCGCATCATCAGCAGGAGGAATCTTGGCGGAGTAGTACGTACTCGTACTCTGGGCCGCATGCCATCTAGCGGGACGAGCCCCTCTGCTCGCGCTCCACCGCAGACTGTGTGTGACATTACTGTACGTACGTGTGATTATTATCGCTAGCACGGATGATATGTTTCCAGGACGGGATTGGGCTTCGGTCGTTGGACCTTTCGCTTTATTTATTGTTGCTTGTATCGCATGATGCTTTCCGCCGTTCTCCGCCATTGCCTCTCCTTCGACCACCGAGCATCGTCTCCAGACCCAACGCCATACCTGACGCCTCCCTTCGCTCCTTACTGTTCCTTCAGATGGTGCCTCTTAGGATCGTTAGAAGTAGAACACCACTAAACTTCACTTATGTGCATAATATGGCAAGGTCGCTGTCTATGAGCACGCGCACGGGCTTCCTGCATAATTCAGGTTAGAACGTGGGCGGATGGGCTGGGCTCGTTGGAAAAAGTACACTTGCTGCCCCGGTGAGGCTCGAACTCACGACCTTCCGATTGCTCCGTCGATGGAAGCGAAACGTTTAACAGTCGGACGCTGTAACCAACTCAGCCACGGGGCAAAGGCACTGCATTTTGCATCCGTACCATGGATACCACCATCTTTCAGCGGTAGACATGATGCGATGACGAAGACATCACCTGTTGCTGAACCCGGATTATCAGTACAGTGCAACCATGATTGACCTGTGACATAGGGAGTCTGAATTTGTGCATGAAAGTTCTACTGTTCTTAGCAGTAGCTCAAAATGAGAGTTGTTGTACCTCACTTGTGTGCATATGATGTGGTTAATCATTGTGTCTGTTAGGATCCAGATTGAAGGGGAGGTGCAGAGCGAACTGAAGTTCAGAGCTTGCCAAGTTATTAGGACTGTGCAGTCCAGGTAACCCTGGAGGAGGTCAGAGCTAAGCAGAGTTCATCCAGAGTTTGGACTACACACCAAAGAGTAATTTTGCAAAGCTGTTAATAATGCACAGGTTTTGTGACAGTTGTCCCCAATTTTGGACAAGAGGGTACACAGATAGAATTTGAAAGGGACGATAGAACTAAAAGAAAGATGAGACAAAGATAAGACTGGACCAGAGATCGGACTTCGGACTTTGGACAAGACAGGATGGAGTAATGCGCTGGTAGATGAAATATCTGAACTAAGTAACTACTACATTCCATATCTGCTTAAATGTGTCCAGAGCTTAACGTTAATGTAGACAAAAGAAAGACTCAGAATGTGAACTAGTAAGTGTGAAGATGATAGCCTTATTGTCTAAGAATGAATAGGAGAGTAAGGTGTAACAATGGTGCAATCCAAGTATTGGAAATAGAGCACAGTACAGAGTTGGGGTGTGGTATACAGGTCCAGGGTCCGGAGTCCGAAATTCAGCACAATGTGTTAGTAACACCTTCATGCATTTGCAAAGCATAGGCGACCCCTGGTTTCCTCAATGAAACATTGTGTCCCGAAGCATCTGAAGTGACACTCAAATCACTGCCTGTAAGGCTGTGGTGCATTCCTATCAGCAGTAGCTCTGCCATGATCTTTACTAAACTCAAGCCTTGAGGTACATGTGTGACCAATCATGGGTTGGTGTACTTCAATCTGTCTGCCCCGAGCACTAGCTGAGCTGACCAAAGAGCTTGAGAGCATCACAAAGGCCAGATTGCCAGGTGAAGTGAGCTTATGGGGATCAGAGAGCTGCCAGCCACTCGATCGCTACATTTTCCCTGACCATACAGTGCATGTGGCACAAAGATGGTGACAACCTCCAATCGAGTGTGAGATACCTGTAGCTGAGTATGCAGAGGGTTAGCCTCCATGATGGTATGTGTTGAGCTATTGTGACCATACACAGTCATCCTCGTTGGTGTTTGCTGGTGGTTCTCCCAACCATGCACCTGTTCCACCTCTTCTGTCTTAGCCAAGCCCCGCCTTTCGATCTTATACTCATCATCTTCCTCTTGTTGCCACATGCCTACACAATCACAATGCCTCCTTTTCGAAAGAACAAAGGCAAGGGAAGGTATGTTCTGCCTTCAGCTTTTCATCATGGCCAGCGGCTTACACGCTGCAGGGCGAGACCGGATGTTGTACCCGATGCAGGAGCATGCCAAAGCACTCCGTGAGTAATGCATCTGTGCGGCTGTCAAGTTACCTCGGATGATTGCTTTTCTCAGTTGCTGTATCTCATTAGGATGTCAATCATGGCGCTGTTCCCCAATATTGGTGTATCTCTGTGCTCCGAGTCTATCGATGACGTGTAGTACTAGTTCGCATTATCATTTGCCGAAGTGTGCTAGCCGCCTAGCGATGGACATGAGAGACAGAATCAGCCCAGCTTTCATGACGCGCCCAGACGCTCCGGTGTGGTTGAACAAGGACAAATATTTGTTGAAGATGTTGTGGCGCACCGGCGACTCGCCACGCGAGTCGCCGAACGCGTGGCACCTCGAACTGGAAGCCCTGAACGCACTCGCTTATGACCCAGTCTCCCGTCTGCACACTACCACCATCACGGTAGCACTTCTGGGCGTATCCGTCCACCGTTCGTCAAGTTGACCGCATCCTCGATGAAGGCCATCGTCAGTGCCTTGTCGCTCGCCGTCTTCTTGACTTCGGTTGTTTCAGGCTCTCGGACGCCTTTCACTGGATGCGAGTCCAAGTGCAATAAAGCTGGCGCCTTACACCTACCCATTCGGCGCAGGCAACAAAACGGTGACATATGGAAAAGGAGTAGTCAAGCGACGGCTGTGGTCGGGGTAGGCGATAATATGGACATGTAGGTTCTCTGATCGTATCGCCTACCCTTCGTCCCCACGGGCCTGATGAGTGTCGCAGAACATATAACGTCTTAGTACAAGTTGGCAGCACACTGACGCCTCTCATCATCGGTATAATGGACTCGCATCCAGGGTATATGCATGCTCTTGCTCACTTGTGACATAGATACGGGCTCTTCTGATCTGTGGCTAGTCTCTGAGGAGTGCAAGGACCGGTGTCCGGCTACGAATGTCCCGCTTTACACACAGACTGACCTCACCTCTGCTGGCCAGACCATTCGCTTGCTCTACGGCGACTCTCGTACCGGTACTCATGCCTCTGGTGTGATCACGAAAGACACTGTCTCTATTGCCGGCCTCTCCGTTCCAGACCAATACTTCGCGGCTATCTTGGACACCAACACTACTGTCCTGCAGACTGGTTCGGCTGGTATCCTAGGACTTGGCTTTCCTCCGATAAGCCTCATCTGGCGGCAACTGTGGGACTCCCATCTCCAGCAGCCTACGCCTGCTCTGCCTAAGCGATCGCATCCAACAGCCACTGCGGACAACTCGATGTTCCCGCCGACTTCTGAGAGGCCAGATCTCCTCGGGGCTCGCACAAAGCGTCAAGCCTCTCCCTTGTTGTCTCCAACAGACTCGTTTCCTACGCTCGGACCTCTGCTGACTAGGCTCGTAGCTTGGAAAGTTCTTGAGCGGCCTCTTGTGGTTGCCACTCTGCAGCGTGACACCATCTCCCTCAGTAGCAACGACGGAACTCTTTCCTTGGGTGCACTTCCCTTTGGGCTGTCGGATAATCAGCTCACATGGGCATCTGTGCGATCGTACTCTGTCGCCGAGGGCGGGCTTCCACCACCGCCGGACGCACCAAAGGAGGTCAGGCTCCGAGCAGTGGGAGGGTCTCAACCTGACAGGATTAGCTTTAGGTCTATCCGCTGGTATGGGAAGTGCCGATTGACGATGTGTTTCTCGACGGCGTCAAGTTGCCTCGTTCGTCTCTGTCCTCACCTTCTATCTCCTTATCTGCGCTTGTCGACACCGTCAGTGCACGCTTGCCTTACTAACCCTGTTCGATCATTGTTGAACACCAAAATTTCAGGGGAACTCTCTCATACGCGGGCCGCAGGACGTCCTGTCCTACATCTACACGCAACTCGATCTAGACGCGTCGGGCACGTTCGACTGCGCCACGCCTCACAACCTAACGTTCCAAATCGGCGGCAAGCTATTTCCCGTGGACCCGCGCGACTTTGCCCACCCTGCCGCCATCGCGCCCGGCACTGTATACCCCGATGAAGCAGCCCGTTGCGCCCCCGCACTGGCCGCTACTGACCCGCCGGGCAACGGTGGCTTCCTGTACAGCTGGAGCCTGGGCGACCCGTTCCTCAAATCGTAAGCCGTCCGTAGCTCGGGCCTCTGGGACCACGTGCCTGATAGAGCATGCAGGACCATGGTCGCGTTCTACTACGGGAACATGACGCACCCCTCTCAGGACCCCGCACGGATCGGCTTCTTGTCCATGGTCCCCTCAGATGCCGGGCACGCCTTGGAGCAGGCTGTGGACGCCGCCATCGCAAACGGCGGCGTATTCCTTTGTGCGTCTCACACCCTTCCCCGCTTCCTCTGACCGCCGGCTGATCGACTTCATGCACCAGCGACGTCCGAGCCCGCGCCGTACGCGACAGCGGCGCGGCTCGCGACCCCGATGTCGATGGCGCGGGTTCCAGGGATCACCCAAGGTTCGCTCAGCGCCAGCAACGGCGCGGCTCCCAGATTGCTGGCGGGTGCCCCGTGCTGGACGTATGCGCTGATGACGTCCGTTCTGTCTGCAGGGATCATGGCGTTATTGCCCTGAGGTGTTTCTCCCATCGCGTTACAGAGCTTTTTGTGTCGATCTTGATTTGTATCACAGTATCACAGTATCGAGTGCCAACTTGTTTGTCAGAGCAACCCCGAAGACGGGCAGCGACGAGTGAGACAGAGCCACTCCGTGTGACTTGTGCCGACACGCGTGAGACGCAAACGAACGCATAAATATGACTACCTACGGGACTAGTACGAGATACACAGCATGGAGCACAGACTACACCTCAGCGAACACACCAGAACAGATCGAGCAAACGAAACCCTCAAAAAGACGCCGTAACCTCCAGGATCCGATCCTTCCTATCCAGCTCCGCAACCGCAACCGCATCTCTTCCTGAACCGATACCGTGGCGTTGAAGCCCACACACGCAGCAGCTCACGGCGACAGCGCGCCCGACGGTCCCCCGCCGCCGTTCCCCGCGGGCGACGTGCCCAAGCCGTAGAACCCGTTCACCTGGTGGTCGAGCCCGCCCAGATCGGGCGACGCCAGGATCGAGCTCATGTCGATCGCCGGGTCCGAACTCAAGAACGCCATGATGTCCGCTGCGGACATCGGCATCCCGCCCGCGCCAGCACCCGCGCCCGCGCCTGCAGCGCCGCCGCCGGGACCCATCGCTCCCAACCCGGGGTCGGCGGGTAAGATCCCGCCCATAGCCGACGACCCGCTCGTGTCCATGAACGTCGGCATGTTCGGCGGGGCGGACGCCGGGAGGCCGAACGCGCCGGGGGAAAGGGGGTGGCCGCCCATGGGCGGCTGCTGTGGCTGTGGCTGCGACGGCGGGGGCACGGAGAACGGCTGCGGGGCGGCGCGGGGGCTGCCGCCGCTGAGGTGGTCGAGGAACGCGTCCGTCGGCGGGTAGTCTTCGGGGCTGCCGTGGTGCGAGGGCGAGTCGCCCGAGCCGGCTGGGGAGCGTGCGCTCG